CTGCCAGTGATGAGGAGCTTGTAAGATCTAGGTAAGTAGGTGGGCACATGAAGGGCCAAGCAGCTCTGTCTAACACCTGTGTATGGGTGCTTTAACTAAACAAGTTCAGGAGGCTGACAGGAATAGACCTGCTCAATTCATCTTCCAAATCAGAACAAGACTAAAAAGCTCAGGCTTGAGTTTTCAACTATGCCTAGGTTCTGCCAGGGATGAGGAGCTTGTAAGTAAGATATCTGCTCTATCTGCGCAACACAATGCATGCACACAGCATGCCCAGCAGCTGAAGAGCTGCAAATGCCAGCGCTGCCCAGATAACATGCATCATGATTTCTTGTAGCTTCTTCACAACTAGAGCCTCATACCACTCAGTGCGAGGTTGGAGGGATAGGCCAGACTACCATAACAGCTGCTGGAGGTCTCTCTACAGCAGCTGAGAGGGACACTCTGGTTTTTGGTTTCTTTGAACCAGTCAGTATTTTCCCAGTCTGAGTAGCTGTGAATTCCACAACAGTGCAGCTGTCTCTATATATAATCTATAGCCTGGCTAGCGGCATCAAGGTTGGTTTCATTGTAGGTCTTACATACTTTCTGAATGCTGTGGTCAACCTCATTTTCCACCTTTGCTCTATATATGTATCCCAAAACCATTACAATGACTTCTGTGACAAAAACCCAGGGTCGGATGATGACAAACGTGGCCAGTCCACAGCAGCTTTTGTGGATTGTGGCACAGCAGCCAATTAGCCCAATAATGAAAAGTAGGGTTCCTACAGCTATGATCGCTACAGCAGGTAGTGTACACATCTTCAAAGAAGTGGTTGTAGTCATCATAAGTGATGAAGACATAGGCTCTCACAAAATGCTCACTGCCCCCAGAAGATGAGGTTGAGAAACACCAGCACGGTCTTGGAGGAGGTGATGCTGCACTGGCACGTGATGTAGGTGGTCGCTGGGGCCCTGCTCGGAGAACTGGATGCGCCCACCCAGCGAGGCCGCAATAGTGAGGCCTCTCCACTCTGATCTCTATTATTTCCTTCTTTCTACTCACTTTGGGCTTTGTTTGTTCTTCTTCTTTTAGTTCCTTTAGGTGTAAGGTTAAATTGTTGATCCGAGATTTTTCTTGTTTCTTGAGGTAGACCTGTATTGCTATGAATTTCCCTCTTAGAAACTGCTTTGGCTGTGTCTCACAGATTTTGGGGGTCATCATGCTTTCATTTTTATTTGCCTCAAGGTATCTTTTGATTTCTAACTTGATTTCATTGTTTAGTAGAACGTTATTTGTCTTTCATGTGTTTGTGTGTGTTTCAGTTTTCTTGTAATTAATTGTTTTCATACCATTGTGATCGAAAAACATGCTTGATATGATTTCAGTCTTCTTTATTGGTACTTGTTTTGTGGTGTTAACATGTAGTCTATCCGGGAAAATTTTCCATGTGCACCTGAAAAGAATATATATTTTGCTGCTTTAGGGTGAAAGACTCTAAAAATAGCAATTAAATCTGAATGGTCTGATGTGTCATTTAAGGCCTCTGTTTTCTTGTTGATTTTCTGCGTGGATAATTTATCCATTGATGTCAATAGGTTGTTAAAGTCCCCTGCATTTACTACTATTCATCTGTCCCTTTACTTTCATCAGTATATAGCCTGGCCGTGCTTTATATATTTAAGTGTTCCTACATCGGGTGCATAGACGTTTACAAGAGTTATATCCTCTTGTTGGATTGACCCCTTTATCATTATAAAATACCCTTCTTTGTCTGTTGTTACAGCCTTTGTCTTAAAGTCTATTTTGTCTATTATAAGTATTGCTACCCAGCTTGTTTTCATTTCCATTTGCATGAAACAAAGTGATGCAAAAAGAAGTATCTTTTTCCATCTCTATACTTTCAGTCTCTGTGTGTCTTTCAATCTAAAGTGGGTCTCTTGTAGGTAGCATATGTATGGATCTTGTTTTTATTATTCATTCACCAGCCCATGTCTTTTGATTGAAACATTTAGTCTGTTTTCATTTAAAGTAATTATTGATAGGTATGTATTTATTGCTATTTTATTAATTGTTTTCTGATTGTTTTTGTAGTTCTTTTCTGTTCCTTTCTATTCTCTTTATTTCTTATATGTTGATGACTTTCTGTAGTGTTATGTTTGGATTCCTTTCTCTTTATTTCTTGTGTATCACTTTCAGATTTTTGGATTGTGGTTACCACATACTTCATATATACCAAGCTATCTTTATAGTAGTCCATTTTAAGTTGATGGTTCCTTAAGTTTGAACACATTCTAAAATAACTACAATTTTTACTGACCCCCTCCACATTTATGGTTTTGTTATTGTGCTTTACTTCTTGTGTATGTGTGTGTGTCTGTCCCTTAATTTATTGTTGTAATTACACATGATCTTCCTACTTTTGTCTTTTAACCTTTGTGCTGGCTTTATAGTTAGTTGAATAAATTAATTTCTTAACAAATAAAAAGTAAAACATTTCTAGGGGATTATTTAAGAGTTCACTTCACTTTTATTCAATTTCTTTTGTCCTAGGTAAAGAGCTTTTGATTCTTGATACATTTCATTTAATTTTATTCTTAATGTAAATGCCAAGAGGTAGAATCCTTATGTTTACTGATGATGATAAAAATAGAACACATCTTGACATACTTTGGTGGCAGTGTCCCAAGAGGACAAGAGCTGGCTTTGTTAAACTAGGAAAGCCATTTTTATTGGTCATGTTTTTGGAGTATCTTTATTTCCTTTTGTTTCCATTTCTCTTTGTTTATTATTCCGTTTCTTCTCTATTTCCAGATTCTCTTCCTTATCTAACCATAGTATCCAATTAAAGTACTTTTTTTCTTGTTGGTTGTATGTATTTAATAGAATTGTAATTTGTCTTCTTACTTAAAATAGGAGATGAATAGAATTTTATTTCTTTTCCTTAAAACAGTTAAACTTTTTATTTATGTGTTTCTTTGTGGATTAATTTATTTTCTTCTGGGTTTTTGTTTGTTTCTTTGTTTGTTTGTTTTTATTGAGGGCCAATGCTTTGTGGAAATTCTTTTAACAAGACTTGGGAATAGTTTCCTGGCTTCTACTAAGTCAGCTAGAAGATTCAAGTCATGTGATATTCTGATTCTCTAAGCATCTTAACCAGAAACGTTAACCGTAATGGCATTTTGCTGTGATAGTAAGTGGAATAGAATAGCTGACAATTATCTGGGTTTTTGATTCAGAGATGATCTTTCTGATCCTAAGCAGGATTTAGGAAATTCAGAATTATAAGTAGACCCTTAGTAAATTGCTTTAATCAGCATTCCTCTGTAGAATTCATGATTATTGCATTGAAAGCAATTTAGTCATTAAGATAATTTTCTAGTCATGTAGAAATCTAGATGGAGAGAGGAGAAGGCATGGAATAGATCACATAACCTGTAATTAAGTTTTTTAAAGGAATAAAACAAAAGAAAAACTCTCTATCTGCCTCCAAAGACTGTGGGATGAGTCAAATGCGTAATACTGGTTTGAGTTTTTCCCCCAAGCAAAATAAGACTATGTTTTTGGAACAAAACATGGAGTATAAATTTTTATTCAGATTGGTACTCAAAGCTTTCATCAGAAGGGCCGTGTGCTCCATTCGATATTGCCTTTCATCTATAACGTCTATTCAGCCTATCTGTAATAATTAGCTTTGCGTTTACATAGAGCCATTGTTGCAGTATTTAGACTATTTGACAAGCATCGTTTTTAGCTTTTGAGTTAGTACGTGTAGTTAAATTCCTGTTGTTTCTCCAAGGCTGCATTTGTGAGTTCCTTTAGCCCTATTTATAAAACATAGCCATAATGTTGGATAGTATTTAACAAATCATCAAATGATAACAATCTTTAGATCCACAGCACAGATTTTTCTCAAGTTCCCATAAACATTGAAAAGTTTGCAAAAACTGCTTCTCAAAGAATGACAGTGAGCACAACTATTTTTACTTTAGTGTGCCCTGTGTTGCTGTGAGCTTAGACCTATAGATAAGGTTCAGGAGACTGAGGATCAGAAAGCCTGTGACGCATGTCAAATGAGATAAATGTACCCACCAAAACTGGGGCTTTTATAAAAGCCCTTGTTTGGGCATTTGGTAGGTAACAGTCTTTATTAAGGGCACACATGAACACGTGCTGCATTGTGAAAAGACACTCATAATGGACATTCTTTCCTTCTACAATCATGTATGTCAAGACTTTCTCACAGCCCTCTAGAGGAACCTCTACCTAAACCCCCACCTCCCTGCACCAGCTGACTCCAAGTCACTCCTCAGGCCTGGCTATAATACTGCCCTTCATAGAGCCCATTCCCAACTATCCCCCTGCCTCGAATCTGTGTGGTGATCCGTTCTGTTGTTTTCCTCCATGGCATTTAAAACTCTCTGTGTCAGTGTATTTATCCAATCATTTGCTTCTTCTAGCTCTTCCTCTTCCTAAAGGATCATGTTTGTTCGGTCTACTGAAGTACATTGAAGGTCTAACCCAGTGCCTAGGCAACACAGTAGGCTCTCAGTAACTATTTGTCGAATGGATGACCAATTTAGAGGAGAACCAGGCCAGAAATGTATGAAAAATACTAAAGCATAAAACCAAAATATAAAAACAAGAACATAGCTAACAGCAGCCAGGCCAAATTTATGCCTAAAAGCCAAAAATATGCTGGAGTAACTAGAACCAGATGGGAGTATGGAGAGAAGGCTTTGGGAAGTGAATGAGTTTGAGGCAGTTTTAGTATAGAACTGTGGGCAAATGGCAAAGGCGGGAGCTGGTCAGTCAGGAAGCCCTGGCCCTGTGCTGTGGGAGGCAGTTTCCTCTCAAGATGAGAGGCCTGGGCACTGGCCAACTGAGGCTGTGAGGAAGGATGACATGGGGCTATAAGGCAGGGCTGTTGCTGATAGGTAGCCTCCAAGTGGATGATTAAGCTTTAGAATGTGACTTAAACTTTATCTTTGTTCTTCTCTTATGTTTTGGTTTGTAGGATGGCCAGCCATTGGCAGGCTTGATCCAGGATCACATGGTTTCAGGTGCAAACATGACCACTCGAGGTTGCTTTTTCAACCGGGAGCAGTACATGCAACTGGTATACCGAGGACTTACGGACAAAGTGGGGCGCGTGAAGTTCTTTCCTCCCGCCATCCGAAAGCCTTTTCCGCTATGGACGGGAAAGCAGGTAATTGGGAGAAAACAACCAGTGTGTGTATAAGGAGGCAACTGGCCACTCATATAATAGGTTTTATTCTCTGGAGAGCCCACTCCAGAGACAGAGAAATGACAGCTCAAGCAATAGTCTGATTTTCTCTTTGATGGATTGGTTTCCTGGGTGTGGGTGGTTTCAAGGGAGTATCTACTAAGAGTAGGCTACATGGTTTCTGTCCTTAGCATCTAACTTAAACTTGATATCCTCATAATCTAAATATGGTGCTTATAGGCGGTGGTGTTGATGTTAGTATTAGTCATATCTGTTGGGAGGAGCCAAGTGCTTTGCAGAATGCCTTAACTCATCTCCCATTTGCCCCGAGAATACTTGCCAGTGGCACTTAGGGCTGCAGCGTTTATCCCAAGATAACTCGCCAATTATAGTCCTAACCTTACTCTCGGTTTGCCATGAAATATTTTTTTTTATTATTTTTTGCATCGCTCTAGTATATTGTTAGTCTTTGGAAACAAATGACATCATTCTGTTTATAGCATTCTGTTTTTAGTAGTGGTATTTCCATTTACAAAATATAGTAATTCTTGATTGCTGAAAATGTCAAATCCTAGAAAACATAGCATTCCTGTGCATGATGTCAACTCTGGCAGTGAGCTGCACTTTTTTTATCTAAGCAGGAAAAGGGTTCAGTGTATTATTTAATCCTCACAACCAGCCTGCAATGCAAACACTATTATCACTATTTAGCAAATAAGGATATTGAGGCTTAGGAAAGTTAAATTACATGCCCAAGTCTATAGGAGACAGTTGGAATTTAAATCCAGGATTTTCTAACTCCTAAAGCATCACACTATACTTCCCTTTAAAGTAATAAAATACTAATATATGTGGTGACTAAATAATTCAGTGCAATAAAATATGTGCTTCTGCTGTTGGCTGGGTCTCCATTAGTTTTAAGGCCCAACTACTAATCAGCTATGTATTCTAGGCTCTGTGGACCTCATTTCACATCTATAAAACCAAGAGTTTTAGGTTGACGATCTCTAAGGTGTCTTCCAGCTCTGCAGTTCTTTAAAGTCTGTAGACCTGGGTCTTGACTGATTTTTAGTTGGTAAACCAACCTTCCATTCCTGGGATAAGCTTTACGTGGTTGTGAGGCATTATCCTGTCTATATATCATTGAATTCAATTTGCAAAAGTTTTGTTTAGAATTTTTTTTTTTGTATTTGTGTTCATAAGGGATATTAATCTGTAATTTTCTTTTCTTGTAATATATTTGTCTGGTTTGGGTATCAGGATAATGTTGGCTTTATACAGTGAGTTGGGAAGTAGTCCTCTTCTTCAGTTTTCTGTAAGTGTGTAGTACTGCTATTTTTTAAAAAAAAAATATTCGGTAGAATTCATCTGTGAAGCCATCTGGACCTGGCATTTTCTTTATTGGAAGGTTTTTAAACTAAAATTTCTATTTCTCTTACACATATAAGACTATTCATGGTATCTCTTTCTTGAATGAGCCTCTGTACTTTGTTTTTTCAAGAAATTTGTCCATTTCATCTAAGTTGTTAAATTTATAGGCATAAAGTTATTCATAATAGTTATTTACCATCCTAGTCTATATTTACAGTCTGTAGGGGGGTGTCATCTCTCTCATTCCTGATATTGGTAATTTATGTCTTCTCTTTTTTCTTGATCAGTTTGCCTAGGAGTTTATTGATTTTCTTGCTCTCCAAGAACCAGTTTTCATAGACTTTTTCTATTTTTCTGTTTTCTATTTCATTAATTTTACTTTGATCTTTATTATTTCCTTTTTTCTGTTTATATTGGGTTTGATTTGCTCTTCTTTCTCTAGTTACCTAAAAGCTTGATGCTGACATTGTTGACTTGAGACTTTTTCCTTTCTTTATACAGGCATTTCATGTATAAATTTAACCCCCTAAGTTCTGATTAAATACCATCTCTCAGATTATGATATGTTCTGTTTTCATTTTCATTCACTTGAAAATACTCTCTAAATTACCTTTTGATTTATTTTTAACACATGAGCTATTTAGAAGTCCATAATTTAGTTTTCAGATATTTAGAGATTTTTCCAGATACCTTCGTTACTGATTTCCAATTTAATTCCTTTGTGGCCAAAGAACATACCTTGGATGACCTGAACCCTTTTAAATTCATTAAGATTTGTTTTGTGGTTTCAGTTATGGTCTATCTTGGTAAATGTTCTTTGTTTCCTTAAAGATAATGTATAATCTGCTGTTGTTGGATGGAGTGCTTTATAAATGTCAATTAGATTCGCTTCATAGTTCAAGTATACTATATCCTTGCCAATCACTGTCCTTTATCGCCTGCCATTCATTGTCTTGAAAACTATCGTTTCATATTCTTGTGTGCTTTTATTGTTGTTTCTGCTGGGAGAGTAAATCAAGTCATAATTGCTCTAGCCTGCCCAGAAATGGAAATCGATTTAACAGAATATATGGGGAATTTTGCAGTTTAAGATTAAAATCTGTAAGTATGGATAGTTTAATTCAAGGAGTAGTAAGCTTTTTCTGTAAAAGCCAGATAGCAAATATTTTAGGCTTTGCTGGCCATACAGTCTCTGCTGCAACTACTCAACTCTGCCATTATAACATCAAAGCAGCCATAGACAACACATAAATGAGTGGGCATAGTAGTGATCCAGTTTAACTTTATTACAAAAAGAGATGGTGGGCCAGATTTAGCATATAGGCTGTGGTTTACCTACCTCTGATTTAGTCAGCTATATATATTTGTCCACATTATTATTCCTATTCGTATTATTTTTATTATTCCTGTTTATGTTTTCATTATATAAGCGATCTCAAGTTATCTTGGAAGTGAATGGATTATAATTCTTAAGTAATTTATTGTCCAGAATTTGTTAGAATTTTATTTAAATGTAAGCAGTATTCAAAATAAAACCAAATAGTGGATGAAGAATATATATCTAGAGCCATGAATATGTTCATTCCCTTCAATCTGGGAGTCCAGCCTAAGAAAATAATCTGAAATATAGAAAAAGATATTTGAAAAAGCAGTCCATGGTTTATAGTGGTAGAAATTCAGAAAACCCTAGGTACTTAAGATTGGAGCTAAGTGAATTTGTGAAACATCCACTTGTTAAGATATTATGTGGTTGTTAAAAATAGTGGTTTCAAAATATTGTAGCAATCTGGAAAATTCTCTGACATAATGGTAAAAGAAGAAACAGAGTATACAACTCTATGTGTAATCACAGTTGAAACCATGTTTAAAATGTATATGAAAAGTTTACCATAAAAAAATCAAAATGATAGAATAATTCAAGATTTTTTTTTGATTTTATAATGTTTCTGGGCTATGGTTATTATTTTACAATTAAATGAAACTAGAAAATCGGTCCAGGTTTTACTTCTGTAATAGTTGAGAATATTCATTGTTTCTTTAGAGGTTGGTACAAGCTTTTGTTTCTTTGCAAATAGGTCAAAGTGGAACAGTGACTACTACTGTTCCACAAGAATTTGTTAGTGGCTCAGTCTGATTCTACAGAAAAGAGCCATGTTTAGAATCAGAAGATACGGAACTGAGCATGGGCTGTTTATTTGTATGGCCCCAGAAAATGAAGTCTTTGACTATCTTTCCAGGGCATTTCATATCTTTCTTGAGTGCTTTTCTTTCTACTTAGACTCTGAGGTCTCTCATCATTTGTCCAAAGACCCTATAAAGAAAGAGGATTTGCCTGTAATTGCAGCTCTCAAGTGTACAGCTCAGTGAATGTTCACAAAATGAATACACCTTTGTAAACTATCACCCAAATCAGAAAGTAGAATATCACCAGCACTTCCAGAAGACCCCACCAGAACCCTCTCAGTTTCTACTACTCCCCGAAGGTAGCCACTAACCTAACTTCTAACACTATAGTTAAGTTTTGTCTTTCCTTGAACTTTATATAAGTGGAATCATACAGTAAATCATATCTTTCGTGTGAGTCCCTCATGTCATCACATATAGTAGTGGTTTATTCATTTTCATTGCTGTATAGTATTTCATTATATGAGTATACTATTGTATATTTATCTATTTTACTATTGATGGACATTTGGGTTCTCTTCAGTTGTCTCCATTTGGCTATTACAAATAGGGCTACTATGAACATTCTTATATATATCTCTTATGGAACATATATATGCATTTTGATGGGTAAATACCAAGGAATCAAATTACCAGGACTTAAGATCTGTATTCAGCTTTAATAAATAGTTTAATAAACAGGTTTCCAAAGTGCCTGTAGCAGTTGACTAGCAGGGCATGAGAATTCTAGTTGCTCCTTCCTCAGTAGAACTTGATATTTGTTTGTTTCTGGTTTGTTTGTTTGTTTGTTTGTTTTTAATTTTAGCCATTCAGACAGGCGTGTAGTGGCATCTTATTGTGGTTTTAACTTGCATTTTCTTACTGACAAATGAGGTTGAGCACCTTTTCATATGCTTATTGGCCATTGGATATCATCTTTTATGAAGTGCTGGTCAAGTCTTTTGCCTATTTTCTATTTTATGCCATTTTTTTTATTGATAGGTAAGCGCTTATTATATATTCTGGTGTAAGTCCATTGCCATCTATATGTATTGCAAATACCTTCAACTTGAAGACTAGCCTTTTTGCCTTTTTACCTAATACTGTTTCCTAATGATCATGCTTTTCTGCCTTTTCTTGGCAAAAATGGCAACCAGTGACACTGTTCTGAAGAGACTGGAACAGAAGGATGCAGAGATAAATCAAATTATTAAATATCTTAAGCAGCAACTTTCTCTTCTTAAGGAGGAAGCAATTTTGCAGGCAACTTTAAGAGAAGAAACTTCGAGTTGAAAATGCTAAATTGAAGAACTGAAGCAAGAGCTAATTCAGGCAGAAATTAAAAATGGAGTGAAACGAATACCATTTTTTTCTGGTACTCCGCTGCATGCTAATTCCACGGTTTCTGAAAATGTGATAACAGTCTATACCAATAACAACCATATCTTCTGGTGCCAAAGAACAGATGAAAGGAGGAAGAGGAGGAGAAAAGAGGTGAAAGAGAAACTTGAAAAGAAAGGAGAGAAAAAGGAGTAAAAAAAAAAAACAATCAATAGCAGGAAGCACTAACTCTAAGCCAGTAGTAGATGTTTCCCGTCTGGATCTTTGAATTGGTTATATCATCACTGCCAGAAAACATCCGGATGCAGAGTCTTTGTATGTAGAAACTAAATGTTGGAGAAGCAGCCCCAGGAGCAGTTGTCAGTGGCCTGGTAACCCAGTTCCTCTTGAACAGATGCAAAATTGGATGATGATTTTACTTGGTAATCTAAAACCTGCAAAGATGAGGGGAATACTGTCTCAGGCAGTGCCGGTGTGTGCTAATTCACCAGAAAAAGTTGAAATCTTGTCACTTGCTAATGGGTCTGTTCTTGGAAACAGAATTACTTTTAATGCTTTTTCTGGAGAGAAAGGAGCTGAATCCTAAGATTTGGGAACAGAGCCAGTCTGATCTTTACACAAATGATGAGTGTGTGGCTGCATACAAAGGAGCTCCCTTTGAGATATTCTGGGAATGGCAAAAATTAACTTAAGAGTTATTAGCTTCAAGTTCACCAGCCTTGAGATGGTGACTAATGATATGGGCTACCAAAGAGAAATACATCAGTAGAGGTAAGAGTACAGATATTGTTTGAAAGAAAAGCCTCACACACAGAATTCTAGCACTGTAGCTGTTTATAGCCTCCAATAAGGAGAGGCAAAACAAAAAACTTAAAACAACCCTGCATGTTGAGTTATAAAGGTATAAGTAAAGTTCATTTATTTAAGTCCAAGAAGTTCTGGTAGGCCAGGACATGGTATTGTAATAGAATTTTATCTTTTTTCTGAAAAACTAAACATTAGCAGCATTGTTAACCTATGTTGATAACTAAATACAAATGAATTTTCACAGTTATTGTGTACTCAGGATCGATTATCATTTTGGGAATAAAGACTGCAACAAAGTCAAAAAAATTTTTTTAATTATGATTCTCATAGATAACTGCTACCTTCACAATTTAAGAGAACGTTGCAAATGGTCTTTTCTCCCTAGCGTAATAATTTATGACCAGAAAGTAAATCGTATACTTGTAGAAAGTCAATGCGGAAGGAGACCTCAAATTATCTTGTCTGACTCCCTGGTTTTTTAAATTGAGATATAATTCATATTTAACATACATTTTACCATTTTTAAAAAGTGTATCATCCAGTGATTTTTAGTGTATTTACTGCATTGTACAATAATTACCACTAGCTAATTTCAGAACATTTCCATCACCTTTAAAAGAAACTCTGTACCTATTAGCAGCCAGTCCCAGTTTCTCCCTCCCTTATCCACTGGCAATCACTTTCTGTCTATGGATTTGCCTATTTGGGATATTTCACATAAATAGAATCATATAATATGTGGCCTGTTGTGACTTGCTTCTCTTACTTAATATAATGTTTTCAAGATTCATTCTTGTTGTACCATGAGCAGTACTTCATTCCTTTTTATAACTGAATAATATTCTGCTATATGGATATACCAGTTTTTTGTTCATTTGACAGTTGAAAAATGGGTACTTTGGGTTGTTTTCCTTTTTGGCTATTACAAGTCAAGCTGCAGTGAATATTTGGGTACCAGTTTTTGTGTGAACGTGTGTTTTCTATTTTTTTTTTTGGATATGTAGCTGAGTCTTTTATTAAGATTTTCTTTAATTTCTTTCAATGGGTGTTATATTTCTCAGCATACAAGTTTTACACTTCTTTTGTTAGATTTATTCCTATTTTATTCTTTTTGATGCTGTCATAAATGCAATTGTTTTCTTAATTTAACTTTTCAGATTGTTTATTGCTGATGTATAGAAATACAATTGATTTGTTGTTGATCTTACGTCTTTCAGCTTTGCCAAAGTCATTTACTAGCTCTAATAGTTTTTTGTGGATTCTTTAGAGTTAGATTCTAGTTATAAGGTCATGTCATCTGCAAGTAGTGGTAGTTTTATGTCTTCCTCTCTGATCTGGATGCCTTTTATTTCTTTTCTTGCCTAACTGCCCTGTATAGAACCTAGTACATTGTTAAATATAAGTGATGAGAGCAGATATTCTCGTCTTGTTTCTGATCTTAGGCAGAAAGCATCCAGTCTTTGATCATAAAGTATGTTCGCTGTGGGTTTTTCATAGGTGCCTCCCCTTTATTGCTGATGTTTTTTTCTATTCCTATTCTATTGAGTGTTTTTATTGTGAAAGGGTGTTGAGATTTTGACAAATACTTTTTCTGTCTCCTTGATTTTGTAGATGGGATGGCAGGTCGTATTTCCCTGTCCCTAGATGGTTGGATACATGTGTTTCTGTTACCTTTCCCATCCTGACTGTGCCCAGCCTAGCCGTCCTGCTGCACATGTGGCGCTTTAGTTGTGGTGGAGCTTGTGGTCAGCATTCTGGGGAAGTGTCACCCCACTGTCTTTATTCCCTCACCTGGGAATGCTGGCCTTATGGAGAGCCTGGGTCATGATCTTTCTGGTCATCTGTTGCTGAGATAACAAGGAATAGTGTCTGCTTTTTTTTTTTAAGATGCTGTTGCCACTTGTCCTCCTGCTCCTGGCGTACATACATGAAAAGGCAGCTGCTCTCATAACTGCCCTGACCTTGTTGTGCACATATAACAACACTACTTTGTAGGGCCTGGCATAGGCACACAAAGAGCTGTTGATGCCCCTGATGGCTCCCAGCCCCTCCACAGCCCTGGGCCCTGTCACACCAGCCTGTCTGTCCCCTTGCCTGCTACATTTTCGGGAATAATATGCTTTTGGTCCTTCTGTAGCTGACCCATGTTCATCCCCAGGTTCAACTGCCCCTACTTGTGTTCTCTGTGGAGCAGCTGCTTGAGAAATTGTCTCTCCTGGCCTTTTGTTAACAGCCACTTGTTGAGTAGATAGCCACACTGATGAGTCAGTTGGGACAGGGGATGGGCTCCTTGTCCTTCTAGTAGCCATGATAATTCCAGTGACATAAATTTATTTCTGGTGTAGCTCTGTAGCTAATTGTGTGGAAGCCATCAGGTTGCCGAGTAGTCACATAACTGATGTACTTGACACAGAGACTCCGTCACATGGTGCTCCCCTCTCAGGGCACTATAATAACCACTTCTAAAATGCGAGTCTTTTCTCGTCAGTTTCACTTAGGAGGCTTATTCTCTATGGCATTTATTTAGCCTCAGAGTCTAGAACAGAAATATATTTGGAACAAGTGATCCTATTAAAAGTTAAATCAGAGAGTGTCACTCCTGTGATCGAAACCTACCAAATAGCATTCTTTCTCAAAATAAAAGCCTCTATCTGAAATGCATGATCTGATCTCTGCACGGCTCCCTTCCTTACTGCCTTCTTGGTGTGAGGCCTTCTCTGCCTATCTACTTAAAATCCTGCATTCTCTCTCCCTCCCCACTCCCTCACCCTCATTCTGCTCTAGGTCCTCCTTCCCTGCTTCATTTTTCTTCAAAGCATGGATTCCCTTTGGGAATGGAGGTTCCACTGAAGGCAGAGACTCTATTTTATTCACAGTTCTTCCCAGCGCCTGGCTCATAGTAAGTGCTCAGTGTATAATGGCTGAATGAATGACTGGGTCTTATCTGTACTCTACGGATGAGCAATGCTAGGGCTAACAGAGCGTGATCATTTTCCCACAGCACAGTCAGTGATGGAGTGGGCACTGGAGCACCCCCTCGTCCCTGGAGCTTCCTTGCAGCCTGCTTCTCAGTGGGGTGCCTCAGGCCTCCTCCGTGCTTCTTGGA